ATTGAGGTTTTATATTTAGAATCAAATTCAATTTTTCAACTAGTTATTATATTTAGAATTGAAGGTAGTATAAAAATTTAATTTAGATATTTGCTTTTAGTTTAGATATAGGATCCTAACTCACAGTATTGGTTTCTCAGGATATTTCCTTTAATCATTTGTAAAGAAAATTACCTCATACTATAAAATAAAAAAAAAAACCCCATGTGCAATTTACAGGGATAATTTGAAAAAACAAAATGAATTTAAATCTTACAATTAAAACCAAAACAAACCCTTCCCAATTAGCTTTTTTCTTTAGGATTGAAGAAAGTGTTCACCAACAAAAATATCACATCAATATTGTAATTAAAATCCACAAAACATTATTTGATATAATTTGAATATTTTGTTATCACACAAAGTCATTATACATTTAGAAAATATTAGTAAAAAGCTAGGGTAAGATTTTTTTTTCCCTGGGTCAAAAAAAGTGAGAATACAATGGGAGCTATTTTTAAATGACTCTTACGTTAAATTATCTGGCATATTTGTTGGACCAAAATGTGACGTAATTAAGATATTGATATTGACATTGTCAAGAAATTTCAAAACACATGGTGGAGTAGTTTGTAATGTTAGTGACATAATGTCTCCCATTGCATAGGGAATTAAACAGTTATGTCTGCTAAAATTTAATAGATATATAAGTATTGAAATTTAAAAGATATTTTGTTTAATTAATAAATTACAAAAAGGTAAGCCTATTAAATTTAAAATAAAAAACGACTGGCAAAAAAAATAAATTGTTATATATATATGGTGTATCCAGTCAAAATTACATCCAAAAAATAAAATCAGGCTAAAATTGTACCTAATCTTGTTTGCCTTTTTTTTTTCCCCATCCAACATCTTTATTTAACATTATTATTATTAAACTCTCGCACAAGGTTTTTTTTTTGTTTTTTGAGCAAAAAACTTTCGTACAGGTAAAGAATCGCGTGATGCTAAGTCATTAAATTATTCTAGTTATTATTTCTGGTTCTTAATATAATATTTAATTAATTAATTTAAAAATATTAAAAAATTTATTAAATTACTTTAAAGTATTTATATTTATTAATTTTTGAAAACTAATTTGCTTCATTTATAATTGATATATAAAGTAACGATACAAATAATTTTAAAAAAATATGTAACACGTACCCCAATTAAGTAATTTAATAATTTTTTAATTTTTAAATTAATTAATTAAGTCTTATAATATGAATTTAGTCTTGCATGCCTGTAGAGTAGGCATAATAATAACATCAATTTGAGCGTAGAACGTTTCATACTTCAGATAATATTGATTTGCGCTCTAATTAATTTAACAATAAGTCCGTCCTTGATACGATATGTTTGGATAAGAATGAGGAAAATTTCCTCACCTTCTTCATAACACTTGAAAAAAATTAAAATATCTGAACGGCATTTTGACTTAAGAAGAAAAATCATCTCATTAGTGTCAATAACTTTGTGATTTACCGGCAGGAAAGCTAATAAATCGAATCCCAGTATAAGAGTTGGTTAGGAGATTTAATTTAATATTATAAATATAGGGGCTACTTGGGTTTTAGAAAAATTTGTTTTAATCCTAAACATAAAATTTCAATTTATTTTATTTTTAAAATTTATAAATTTTTTCCTGAACTATTCCTATTGAGTGCACGTAACAGGGAGGTTTCTATTAAAGAGTAATTTCAATACAAAATGATATTATCTCCGGTCTTTTAATATAAGAGCTAGTTGACTAGTTTGAATAAATTAAGAAAATTTGTCAACTTAGTCTTCCGTTCATTAATATAAAACCCAATTATTGAGTTGGTTTTGGTTCTAAATATAACACCTATTTTTCATATTTATCAATTTTCTCTAAATTACCCCTATGGATACTCTCTTAACCACAATTAAGTAAAAGAGGAAGAGGGGGTATTAAGAAAGATGATTATGATATTTTTAGGAAAAACATGTCACATATCTTATAGTTAACTAACTTATCTAACTTTTTTAATCTAATCAAATTAGTTAAATGGGTATTATATTAAAAACCAGTGGAGTAGTTATTTGTAATAAATATGTGTTGTTTTCTTTAGAACACCCTTGCTATGTATTAGCTATGATTACTATCTAATAGAATATTTAACATGTACAACTACTATAATGACTACTTTGAAAAAATGATTAAATATGATAAACAAAGTGAATTGAGGCTTTATATTTAGAACTAAATTAAAAGTTAAATTAGCTCTTATATTAAGGATCGGATGTAGTATTAAAGAGGATGCTTTAGAAAAATCAATACATATTTTTAAAAATAGCTGACATAACTAATATTTTTAATTTTTAAAATTAATTATCTAGTTTTTATATAAAAAATTAATAATAATATTAATAGTAAATTCACGGCAATGGTTTACTTAAATAATTAATAATGAAGCTTTATTCCCTTGGCAAATCTACTAAAGTTCATAATGACTTGAGTACTTTTTCTTGCAACTTGGGGAAGGAAAAAAAGACTAAAGAGGACGTGTTCATTTATTTATTTATTAAAAAAAGTGTCATGCAATTGTAAAAGAAACATCATCTATCGCAATCAAGTCTTTGATCCTGCACTCTGTCCAAAAAAAAAAAAAAGTCTTGATCCTGCACAAGTTTGGGTGGTGTGGTGCCTCACTGATGCTCGCTTTTGTATTTTCTAGGTCATTTATTTTTTTTCCTAGCTATTAAATCATACACTTTTTTAAATACCAGGAATATTTTTAATAATAGAGACTAATCTTTCTTAAAATATTAAGATGACCAACTTCTTTTAACTAAATTTGCTCAAATGAAAATTAAAAGTTGAACAATAAATTATATGTGTATTTATATATTATAGGCTATGTGACCGCATACTGTGATGTTAAGCACCAAGTTTTAATTTGACTTCCAAGAAGGTTAATCTAACTTTCAATCAAATGTCTTGGTTCTTACACACACGCATGCAATCATATTAACACTTTACTTAGGCTTAAAACTCCATCAAAGAATATTATGTGAACTGTGCAACAGATAAGAGTCTATCACTAATCTTTATATTATTAGGGGTATTCAAGCCCGGCCCCTCCCGGTCGGCCTGTTCCGGTCCCGGCCTTATTAGGACGGGATGGACTCGTCTCGAAATTTTTCGAGACGGGACAAAAAAGGGATCAGGACAGGACACGGGACGGGGTCCCATCCCAGTTCCTTTTTTTATTTTTATCCTATTTATATAATATCATTTTTTTCATATTTTTTTAAGATTTGAGATTGTTGTATGGAACTATGGATATATATATTTAGAGCTTTTATATTTGTTGATGATTTGAGACTATTGATAATTAGAATTTTTAGTAAGTTTTTATTGTGTTAAAAGCTTTTTTAGAGTTTTTAATGACTGTTATATGTAATATTTTGGACTTTTATTTAAAGGTGCCCAAACAAATAAAAAAAATAAAAAGATATTTTTATAAGGCCTAAGCCCAAACAACTATAATTAAAAAAAAATCAGATTTTATTAGAAAATAAAAAAATTTAAAAAGAATACATCAGTATGTCCCGGATCCGTCCCGTTTTGACCGGGACCAAAACAACATCAGGATGGGACAAGACATGGGACAAAAATCTATCCCATTACTGTTCATCGGACAGAACTGGAATGGGCCTGTCCTGATCCCGATCCGTGATATAAATTATTTACACACTTTGAATGAAGGAAAAAAGAGACTGAGGCCAAAAAAGGAAAAATGGAGACAATGCATGTGCGAGCCTCTTTCATTAATAGCATTAATGGAACTTGCCATCAACTTCTACTAAATATCACATGTTGTTTTTATTTTATTTTTATTATTAATATATACTATTCCTGATCTTAATTATAAGATTTTGTTTGTAATCTATAAACAAAATCTTATAATCAGAACATGAGGTAGTATATAGTTAGAGCTTGGACTTTGGATGATCAAATTGAAGATTTAATCATCTGGATGAAAACAATACTTCTCGCAAATTTATATTTATTTTTTATATTTTTGAAAAGATTACTAAAATTTTTCTGTTACAAAATTTATTGCTAAAAGGTATTTGAAATTTACTTAAAGACTTGTTTGTAACTCTTCTTTACCAATATGCAAAATTTATCATCAACTATGCTTAAAGGAAAAAAATATTTGAACGTAGCTGAAGATGTGCTGCATATAATTGAAATAGAATTATAGCTGTTAATTAAAGAAGCTAAGTTTTTAGACATTCTTGATGTTTTCATCAATTTCCTAAATTATTAATATTTTAATTATTAACTTTTGTAAGGTTTTCAACACCATAACATGTTATTTACTTTCTTGAGAATCCAAAACCATATATTATCTTCGTCCTAAATATAAATTCGTAGTGCAATTTATATTTAGGATTGGAAGTAATAATATTTAAATTTAAACATTAATATCAAATTAATATGAAATATAAAATTTATGACTAGATATTTTATTTAAAATTATGAATGATATAACTTGCTTAGTTACAAAAAATTCAGACTTGATATAGAATATATCCGTCTAAGGATAATTCTTTTCTACAAAATCTCAGCCGCTGGATCATGTTATTGTTCTCATTTACCCCTCGGGAAATATCTTAAAAGGAAAAAAGGCAAGGACATATAAGTCATTTGAGACGGTCTCACCTCACCTTTTTATCTTTAAGACAATTTCAATTCCTTTTACAAAGTTCTTAATTTAATTAATCAATAATTTAGTGACCATCTAAATTATTCTTAACGTCACATGATTGTGCCACACAGCCATCACAGCCCGAAGAAAAGGGGATAATGTCCAAAACGTGTTCCAATCAAGATGCGTGATTCATCTAATTGCGTGACAGGCAGGTGAGGTTAGCATAGACGAGGAAATTATATGATTTCATGCGAAAAAAACAAAGAGAAGCGTATTATTGAGAGGGAGTGGACAGGGAAGTGTGTGTGTGTCTGTGTGTGGAATTGTGATTGTTTGTGTGTAGTGCCTCTCCAGCGCCAAGGAACGGCTTGCTCAGTCATTATAATCTGGAAATCCCAATTTTCTCCTTTTAGAGAGAGAAAATCTTGGATAGAGGATTGTTGTAGGAGGAGAAAGAGAGAGAAGTTTTGGTCTTTTGTGCGTTCCAATGGTTCAACTGGAAATCCAAAGAAGGCTGTGAAAAAAAGAGAATTTTTTTTTTAATTTTTTGATTATTGATGATATAAATTTTTGTTTGTTTGTTATGGATATGGATGGGACTTTGAAGCTATGATCTTGTAAGCATAGAAAGCGATCTTCGATGCAGTGATCAGATTGGCTGATTCCGTCGTGTTTTCGGGGGCCGTTGATTCGTTTTCCCGGGAAATGAACGGTGGCGATGAGGTAGTCGCAGCTCCGGCGGGTCCAACGCAACCGCTGGAGTGGAAATTCTCTCAGGTTTTCGGCGAACGTACGGCCGGCGAAGAAGTTCAGGAAGGTAATTGCAAAAATATGCTGTATTGAGGAGACGTGTTTGTGTTGTGACTGGTTGGATCCAGTTGATGTAGTGTGTCTATGTTGGGATTAGGGTTCGGTCGCGTGATTTCGATCTATTTCTGGTCGTGCCTCGTCAGTCACTTGTTGTTTCGGCTTCTGGGGATGCATGTATCGGCTCGTGGGTCGTGGTGTAATCATTGTCTGTTTGTTGGTCTTTTTTTGATTTGGGTAGAGTAGTGGGTTTCCTGAGTGGGTTTTTTTTTCAACTGTGACCCGAAGGTCTTTATATATTACATAGTTGCCTTCGTCAAGGTTGTCTTGCATTACGGATTTACTGGATTTGAATGATTGCGTGTGGAGCTAACATATGTAAGACTTAATGGTGTTTATCGTCTTGTGTTTTCAGCTCGTGCTTGTGTTACGAGCACTTCACTTCTGTTGCCGTTAATTGGCTTCTTTAGTTTGTCTGGATGTTTCCATGAGACTTTGTGTCCTGTGACAAGATCTTCGTTATTCTATATGTCTTTTATCTATTGAGTTCTCCTTCTCATTCGGATTTTGCCAAGTTATCATTAAGAGTACGCAATACGGTGTACTAAGGGAAGGAGAGTGAGAAGGTGCATCTGGGTGGCTGCACTAAACTACGTGTTATAATGTTGACTCAACACCATGTCTTCTTTCTATTTAGATTTATCCTTATTCAATTTTTGGTGCAACCACTAATATGCTTCATGGCTGGGAAACATTGTCCTCGACTGGCTGTCTCTTAATTCAGACTCCAGATGGCTGTAGGCTGGAGCTGTGGTTATCTGACACGTAAATAGAATGATAGTTGAAGCAAGAACCTTTAGCTACCATTAGGAATTTGAACTCCTCGTTAAATTCTATTTTTTCTAATGAACTGAGTAACTGTATTTAGTTCGTGGGAGTAGAAACGATAACAAAATACTGCATTGATGTGTGTGCTTATCTGGAATGCCATAAGTAAACTCTCAGATTTTGTGGATGAGAGCAGTAAACTTGTATAGAATTCAATCGTTATTTTTCTTTCAGTTACTCTTTGTGTTGAAGAGGGGCAAGGCTGTAGTTCGTAAAGAAGAACTCATTGGACAATTAAAAAAAAAACTAAATTTTTTATCAATATAGATGGAAAGTCCAGACACTTTTGGTCAGGGTATAAGAGAGCTAAGGATATTTGATGCTTAAATTTATGTGAGCTGTTTAAATTTATTTTATACTGGGGTATAATTGGAAGTGTGTTGTAGTCTCTCTACTTTACTAAGGATAATTTATTTTATACTGGGGTATAATTGGAAGTTTTTGTAGTCTCTCTACTTTACTAAGGATGGTTCAAGGTGCAGAAAAGACACTGTTCTTGTCAAACATTAACTGAGATGTAGTTCATGGTTTATAAGGAATAGAATGATTGTTGATGGGGCTTTTGGGATTTAGGGTTTCTATATAGGACAAACTCTATACATTTGGACACCATCAACAGAGTTTGGTAATCTTCTGGTACAGAATTTTTTTTCCCCGACAAAATACTGATACAGGGTGATAGGCAGACCTATTTTAGCTTTTGTTGCTTGCGCTCGATAATGTCAGACCTGAGTGTGTGGCTGATTTTAACTTTTCAGTGGACATAATTTCTGCTATTGAATTTGACAAGTCTGGCGACCATCTAGCAACTGGTGATCGTGGTGGTCGGGTTGTTCTCTTTGAGAGAACTGATACAAAAGATGTAAGTCTGATTTTCAGTTCCGTTAGTTTCCATGACCATGGCATTAAAACTTGATGTTATGTACTTGAATATTTTAATATTTATGTGCACGGTACCATACAGCACGGTGGATCAAGACAGGATTTGGAGAGGATGGACTATCCTCTAAGTAGGCATCCTGAATTTCGTTACAAAACAGAGTTTCAGAGTCATGAACCTGAGGTAAATATCCTTCGCTAGTTAAGGCTTTTCCAATGCCCCCTGCTCACAAGTGTTAATATTAATGTATTATCATTTCTTTGTGCCAGTTTGACTATCTTAAGAGCTTGGAAATAGAAGAGAAGATCAACAAAATTAGATGGTGCCAATCCGCTAATGGTGCCCTGTTTCTTCTATCCACAAATGACAAAACCATAAAGTTTTGGAAGGTATGAATAAATGCTTGCCTGTGGTTCTCTGAATGAATGTCTTCCGATCATGGATTACGTGCATTTTAACTTATTGGTTCCAGTTTGGTCCCTTGTTTATGTCTGGAATGCTTCGACAGCGTGTCTGTTTATGGACATATATTGTAAGTTTGAGGCACTAGTCGGAATCTGTTG